GGGTCTTGCACTCACTAGGCAAGTACACTACTCCTGAGCTCCTCCACCCCCAGCTTGAATTATCACTTATCATGACTGCTAGCAGCACAGCTGTGAGTCAAACAGCCAGTCTTGAAATCCTAGCTCTGTCTAGACGACTGTGTGAATTTAAACGGATACACAGCCTCTCTTTCATGCTGTCCTCATCTATAAAGTAGAATAATTACAACAGCTGCCTCCCAGGGAGCTGTTGCTAGGATGAAATGAATATGCAATCACTTGAGTATATGAAGTACACAGCAGGTCTTGGCTGCTGTTTTTATTATAAGCATCCCTTGCACCACAAGATTGGTTCCTTTCTTCCTAACCCTTCCTCCAGAAGTCTCCATGATCAGAGATAGAAAAACAGCATTCATGATACCATGTCTTTCTTGGGGCTGATGCCTTTTGAAGGCAGGAATTATTCTCCTTCATTCTTCTGCTATATTCTAGCAACAAAAACAGTTGTCTGTCTGCTTCCTTTCCTAGGATCCTGTGGATTTTCAGGAATAAGCTTTAAAAATGAAACGCAGTATCCTGACAGCATCATTTTTTTCCCTCCCTCCCTCCCTTCCTTCCTTCCTGTTGGTGTTGGAAACAAAACCTAGGGCCTTGTGCGTGTCAGGAAAGTGCTCTACCTTTGAATTTTATCTCCAAATTTTGTTTTTTTGTCTCACATAGCTCAGACTGGCCTCAAACTGGCTGCATTGCCATGATGACTTTGAACTCTTGATACTCATGCCTACATAACCTAAGTGCCAGGATCACAGGCATGCACCAGCATGCCCAGTTTATGTGGTCCTAGGGATGGAATCCAGGGCTTCATGTATGTTTTTCTATCAACTGAGCCCCATTCTCAGCCTATACATGTGTTGTTATTGTTGCTGTTTTCATTTTTTTGTATTGAAGGGACCAGCTCCCCATTTCAGCAGCCATGGTAGCCCTAACATGTGCTTGCTTGACCTTGCCTTGGTCACTAGGAGGTCAGATGCCTGCCTCGTGGCAAGGAACCAATCAGAAGTTAGCTGATGGTGCTATGCTTTATGGCTCCGGGTGTGCTTTACGGACAAGTGCACAGTAATGACGCACAGAGCATAACAATCACCCTGGGAGGGCCTATGGGCCATAACCACCAGTTGACCAATCAACACAGGGCAGGCCCTCCAAGCCTGGAGGCACACCAATCCTGAGCCTGTGTGTACCCCTAGACACTCCCCTTACACTGCCCTATATGATCTCTATGCAATGGCTTCTTGCTGTCTTTCCTAGCCATCCGCCATGTGGATGGATGGAAGGCTGAGCTAACATGGGGTTAGCTCGTTAAACAACTGCAATAAAGCTTCGTGCTGTTTGCATCAAGCTTTTGACTCCGCCTGGTGATTGGGGTGGCCGAGATCCTGGGCTGAGATCCTGGGGGCCTGAGCCTCCAGGGGTCTTTCAGTATTTGGTGGTACATGTGTTTAAAACATTAATGTTTTGTGTGTGTGTGTGTGTGTGTGTGTGTGTGTGTGTGTGTGTGTGTGTGTGTGTGTGTGTGTGTGTGTCTGTGTCTGTGTGTCTGTGTGTCTGTGTGTCTGTGTGTCTGTGTCCTCTGTGTATGTGCATGTATCTATGTGTGTGTATTCAAGTGTCACAGTGTGTCTATGACCGAAGATAGGGAGTGCACATGCCATTAACCATGTGTGGAGGCCAGAGCTCAACCTTGTGGAATAAGTACAGGGCACTGGGGATCAAAATCAGGTTGCCAGGCTTATGAGGCAAGCACTTTCACCAGCCTGACCTTGAATTCCTGATCCTTGAATTCCTTGAATTTCCATCTCCCAAGACCTGGTTACAGGTTGGACCCCACACCCACTTTGGGTTTTGTATGTGCATGTTTGAATGTGTGTGGATGCACATGTTTGTGTATGGTGAGTGTATGTGTGTGTCGGTTTGTGGAGGACAAAGGAAGCTGTTGGATGTCTATAGCTCTCCACCTTAAATATTGAGGCAGGGTCTCTCAATTGGGCCCAGAGCTAGTCAATTAGGCTAGTCTAGTTAGCTTGCTCTGTGGATCCTCTGTCTCTGCCTCTTGAGGACAGGGTTACAAGCAGGGCACCATGTCAACTCTGCATTTACTTGTGTGCTGGTATCCCAAACTTTGATCCTTACACTTGTGTGACAAGTCCTTTATCCACTGACTCATCTCCTTGGCCCCTGTTTTTTCTTTTTAAAACAGGGTCTCATATGTCAACCAAATTGTCCTTATACCTAAGTAACCTCTGCCAGCTTTGAATTTGTGATCCTCTTGCTTAAGCCTCCTAAAACTTGGGATTATGATGTCTTAGTTTTTTGTTTTTGTTTTTTATGACAAAAGAAATTTAAGGGGGAAGGAATTTACTTCCACTCACAATTTAAGGTTGAAGTCCATCATCTTGGGGGAAGTCACACCGTGAGGCAGTTGGTCATACACTGTCCTCATCAAAGAAGCAAGGAAGCAGAGAGCCAGGATGATGCATGCTAGGGATGTGTCGGGGCTATATATTTTGGATATATATTCCACCTGGCCACAAGTTCTGGAGAGCCCAGAATTTCTATTGTCTTTTAGATATCAGCTGATAGCTGCTGGATGGGCTATCCTTGATGGGGAATGGCTCCTATTCTAAATAACAATAGCCTTGGGCCAGGGCGAGTCTACACCCACCTTGAAAGCTCTTGAGATGTGCTGGTGTGGAGTGTCTGAGGGCTTGAGTATGTGCTGCAAAGGAATGTCTCTAGGATTAAGGGAAATATTTGCTATCAGCCCCTTTATACATAATAGATGTCTTCTGCCATTGCCCCCACCTTTGGATGGTTACTTAAGATCTGACCAGGAGTCTCTGTCTTGTCTTTGGATAGTTAGCTCTCCCTTATCTACACTCCCTTACTCAGGGTCAGATGGGGGGGGTTGTTTGGCTGGTTCCGATCATAGCCCCGAAGACACCAGTCCAGATAAATGGCCCCTGCAACATGGGACTAATGCAGACCAGACCTGACAGGGATGTTTATCATATATATTTATATGTACAGTGCATATATATATATATATATATATATATATATATATATATATATCATGTGTATGCCTGATGCCCAGGGAAATCAGAAAAGGGTATCAAATCCCCTGTAATTGGAGTTACAGGTGGTTGTGAGCTGCCATGTAGGTGCTAGGAACTGAACCCTGTTCCTCTGCAGGAGGAAGTGTTCTTAGCTGTTGAGCCATCCCTCCAGCCTTATGAAATTCTCCACTCTTACACAATTCAGGATTCCCTGTCTAGGGGATGTGCCACATTTTTTTTTTGAAGTGCTAGGAACATTATCCCAGGCCTCATACATGTTAGGTAAGGGCACTAACATGAGCTGTATTCAGATCAAAGCCCAGAAACAAAGCTGGGAGTGTATGAAGTCCAGGACATGCACAATGGCATGGCCCTGGCACACTGCCAGCCCATAATGGTGTTTATAGAGTGTCTGCAATGGCTGGGTAAGAGGGCACATTCCAGGAAGAAGTTTTTAGAATAAAAGCCAGAGCCAGCTC